AGAGTAAAATGTATTCATGGATACCATTTTTATGTATCTGCATCCAGTATGAAGGAAGTTAGAGGTAGTTTAGTGAGCCAATGATAACTAGCGTTAGTTACCATAGACTTCCAGTCATTGTGCTAAGGCTAGTTAGTAATTGCGCTAAAGCTAGTTAGCAACTTCCTTCAAACTGCATTCAGATACTTAAAAATGGTATCCATGAGTTCATCTGACTCTGGGGAAGTAGATAAAGACCTTCATTGCCAAAATCCTGAAGTATCCCTTTAATAAGAGATGCTGTGTTTGACTCCCACTTAGAAAAATCTCATGAAAAAAATTGTAAATATTTCCAGTTATATTTTCCATCTAAAACAGGCAAAGCAAACAGGTTAAACTTATTCAGGTGTGCCAGATCAAAGGCAGAACAGGGCAGGTTTATTAAATATGAATGACTGTTAGTCCGGGAGAGAGTGCCGAGCAGAGTGGAGGGGAGAGAGACGAGAAGGTTCCAATTAGGGCCCTGCTGTCACACCATCGCAGGGATTGAGCGAGAGGAGAGGTAGAGAGGAGGCATGGAGAGAGGTGTCTGGAAGAGGAAGTTGAGTACAAGGGAGAGCCGTGGGTGAGAGCTGCAGAATCCTTTACTGCAGGGTTCCCCAACTGGGGGCCCGCGGGACGAATTTGGCCTGCAGATGGTTTTATTTGGCCCCCAAAGTTTTCTGAGAAAATAAATAATATATATATATATATATATATATATATATATATATATATATATATATATATACACTACATTACCAAAAGTATGTAGACACCGGCTCGTCGAACATCTCATTCCAAAATCATGGGCATTAACATGGAGTTGGTCCCCTCTTTGCTGCTAGGGAAGGCTTTCCACTAGATGTTGGAACATTGCTGCAGGGACTTGCTTCCATTCCGCCACAAGAGCATTAGTGAGGTCGGGTACTGATGTTGGGCGATTAGGCCTGGCTCCCAGTCGGCGTTCCAATTCATCCCAAAGATGTTCGATGGGGTTGAGGTCAGGGCTCTGTGCAGGCCAGTCAAGTTCTTCCACACCGATCTCGACAAAACATTTCTGTATGGACCTCGCTTTGTGTCATGCGGAAACAGGAAAGGGCCTTCCCCAAACTGTTGCCACAAAGTTGGAAGCACAGAATCGTCTAGAATGTAATTGTATGCTGATTTCCCTGCACTGGAACTAAGGGGCCTATCCCGAACCATGAAAAACATGAAAAACATTATTCCTCCTCCACCAAAATGTACAATTGCCACTATGCAGTGGGGCAGGTACCGTTCTCCTGGCATCCGCCAAACCCGGATTCATCCGTCGGACTGCCAGATGGTGAAGCGTGATTCATCACTCCAGAGAACACGTTTCCATTGCTCCAGAGACCAATGGCAGTGAGCTTTACACCACTCCAGCTGACGCTTGGCATTGCGTATGGTGATCTTAGGCTTGTGTGAGGCTGTTCGGCCTTGGAAACCGATTTCATGTAGCTCCCGACGAACAGTTCTTGTGGTGACGTTGTTTCCAGAGGCAGTTTGAAACTTGGTAGTGAGTATTGTAACTGACGACAGACTAATTTTACGTGCTTCAGAACTCGGCGGTCCCGTTCTGTGAGCTTGTGTGGCCTACCACATCGCAGCTGAGCCATTGTTGCTCCTAGACGTTTCCACTTCACAATAACAGCACATACAGTTGACCAGGGTAGCTCTAGCAGGGCAGAAATTTGACTAACTGACGTGTTGGAAAGGTGGCATCCTATGACGGTGCCACTTTGAAGGCCATTCTACTGCCAATGTTTGTCTATGGAGATTACATGGGTGTGTGCTCGATTTTATACACCTGTCAGCAACGGGTGTGGCTGTAATAGCCGAATCCACTAATTTGAAGGGGTGTCCACATACTTTTGTATGTCCATACAGTACCTGTCAAAAGTTTGGACACCCTACTCATTCCAGGGTTTTTCTTTATTTTTACTATTTTCTACATTGTAGAATAATAGTAAAGACATCAAAACTATGAAATAACACATAGGAAATAATGTAGTAACCCAAAAAGTGTAAAAACAAACCTAAATATATTTTACATTTGAAATTCTTCAAAGTAGCCACCCTTTGTCTTGATGACAGCTTTGCACACTCTTGGCATTCTCTCAACCAGCTTCACGGGGTAGTCACCTGGAATGCATTTCAATTAACAGGTGTGCCTGTTAAAAAAAGTTTATTTGTGGAATTTATTTTGTTCTTAATGCGTTTGAGCCAATCAGTTGTGTTGTGACAAGGTAGGGGTTGTATACAGAATATAGCCTTATTTGGTAAAATACCAAGTCCATATTATGGCAAGAACAGCTAAAAAAAGCAAAGAGAAATTAAAGTCCATCATTACTTTAAAACATGAAGGTTAGTCAATCCGGAAAATGTCAAGAACTTTGAAAGTTTCTTGAAGTGCAGTCGCAAAAACCATTAAGCGCTATGACGAAACTGGCTCTAATGAGGACCGCCACAGGAAAGGAAGATCCAGAGTTACCTCTGCTGCAGAGGATAAGTTCATTAGAGTTACCAGCCTCAGAAATTGCACACTTAAACAGCATGGCTCCCACAGCATTCTGCAATACGCCATCCCATCTGGTTTACGCTTAGTGGGACAATCATTTGTTTTTCAACAGGACAATGACCCAACACACCTCCAGGCTGTGTAAGGGCTATTTGACCAAGAAGGAGAGTGATGGAGTGCTGCATCAGATGACCTGGCCTCCACAATCCCCCGACCTCAACCCAATTGAGATGGTTTGGGATGAGTTGGACTGCAGAGTGAAGGAAAGTGCTCAGCATATGTGGGAAGTTCTTCAAGACTTTTGGAAAAGCATTCCAGGTGAAGCTGGTTGTGAGAATGCCAAGAGTGTGCAAAGCTGTCATCAAGGCAAAGGGTGGCTACTTTGAAGAATCTAAAATATATTTTGATTTGTTTAACACTTTTTTGGTTACTACATAATTCCATATGTGTTATTTCATAGTTTTGATGTCTTCACTATTATATTACAATGTAGAAAATAGTACAAATAAAGAAAAACCCTTGAGTGAGTAGGTGTGTTCAAACTTTTGGGGTCATATATATATACACTACCGTTCAAAAGTTTGGGGTCACTTAGAAATGTCCTTGTTTTCGAAAAGAAAAGCTATTTTTTTGTCCATTAAAATAACATCAAATTGATCAGAAATAAAGTGTAGACATTATTAATGTTGTAAATGGCTATTGTAGCTGGAAACGGCTGATTTTTAATGGAATTCTACATAGGCGTACAGAGGCCCATTATCAGCAACCATCAGTCCTGTGTTCCAATGGCATGTTGTGTTTATCATTTTAAAAGGCTAATTGATCATTAGAAAACCCTTTTGCAATTATGTTAGCACAGCTGAAAACTGTTGTGCTGATTAAAGAAGCAATAAAACTGGCCTTCTTGAGACTAGTTGAGTATCTGGAGCATCAGCAATTGTGGGTTCGATTACAGGCTCAAAATGGCCAGAAACAAATAACTTTCTTCTGAAACTCGTCAGTCTATTCTTGTTCTGAGAAATGAAGGCTATTTCATGCGAGAAATTGCCAAGAAACTGAAGATCTCGTACAACGCTGTGTACAACTCCCTTCACAGAACAGCGCAAACTGGCTCTAACCAGAATAGAAAGAGGAGTGGGAGGCCCCGGTGTACAACTGAGCAAGATGACAAATACATTAGAGTGTCTAGTTTGAGAAACAGACGCCTCACAGGTCCTCAACTGGCAGCTTCATTAAATAGTACCCAAAAAACAGCAGTCTCAACGTCAACAGTGAAGAGGCGACTCCGGGATGCTGACCTTTTAGGCAGAGTTGCAAAGAAAAAGCCATATCTCAGACTGGCCAATAAAAATAAAAGATGGGCAGTTTTCTTTGCAACTCTGCCTAGAAGGCCATCATCCCGGAGTCGCCTCGTCACTGTTGACGTTGAGACTGGTGTTTTGCGGCTACTATTTGTCATTTGACCCCACATGGACTACGACAGCGTCAGATCCCGGCATCTGTCGTAGAATGGTCGGAAGCAGCCTTGTCATGTCCTGTACTCGTGCTCCTGGAACCAAGATGTTTCTTACAGTAGAGCTGCCGATGACGGCAGCTGGTGCAATGGCTGAGGAGGTCTGGCCGTTCTTTCGCCTCGAGTGGTTTCGCAAACCCCTCGAGGACCGAAGGGCAGTGGGGCCTGATGAACCCCAGCCGGCTGTAATATCCATCGTGAATGATGAAGATGAGGGTGGGAGCTCTGAGGATCTGAACCCGAGGTAGAAGCCAATCTCGAATCGGAAGCCCCTATGGAAGAAGGCACCGGAACCTCTGGATCCAGAGCGGCGAAGCCGTTTCTGGTCTGTGTCTGGTCCGGCCTTAACATCTCCAAGGAGGCCCCCGTTGCCAGAGGACGCTTTCTTCGACTTCCACGGCGAGTGACATATCTGCATGGCTGGTTGGTAGGGTCGAGAACAGGAACATCCCCCAAGTCATCCAGGAGCATCCTACTAGCTCCGTTCTCCAGGGAAGGGGGACAACCCTTCGGGAGGGATCCCTGCAGGGTACCGGCCAGTCGGCTGTGGAGAGCCGACATGGCGGCGACACTTCCACCAGGCTACTGGGTTAGAAAAAAAAGAAAAAGTAGTCGGGCGTGGATTACCCAGTAGCTTGTATATGTTCGCTACTTGTTTGCTAAGAGTAGCCACTTCGCCCCTGTAGTCCTCTGCAAGCAAACAGTTCCTACATTGAAAGTCTGGGCGGTCCACATTGTCCCTGAATAAAGCAAAATAAACACAGCTCCTGCAGCGTTGAAAATTTTCAATAGCGACCATTTGAGACTGCCGGCCAGCTAGCTTGTTCTTCTATGTGAGATAGAAATAAGACTCTAGGACGGTTGTGGGATGATAGATCCCAACAGAATATCTAGTGTTTCCTAATCAATTTGGCTATTTTGGTTAACGGCCTTGGTGTCCTGGCAGATGGCCTTGGTGTCCTGACAGATGGCCTTGGTGTCCTGACAGATGGCCTTGGTGTCCTGGCAGATGGCCTTGGTGTCCTGACAGATGGCCTTGGTGTCCTGGCAGATGGCCTTGGTGTCCTGACAGATGGCCTTGGTGTCCTGACAGATGGCCTTGGTGTCCTGACAGATGGCCTTGGTGTCCTGACAGGTGGCCTTGGTGTCCTGGCAGATGGCCTTGGTGTCCTGGCAGATGGCCTTGGTGTCCTGACAGATGGCCTTGGTGTCCTGACAGATGGCCTTGGTGTCCTGACAGATGGCCTTGGTGTCCTGACAGATTGGGCACCTCTTGTAGGTCAAATGGCCTTGCCCCTAAAATCACAAAATTCCAGGTCTGGTTCCGGCCCCTCCGACCATCCACTCAAGAAAAAAATCGTAATGTACAGTTGATGATCCCTGCTTTACTGTATATGTAAACAGAACAGAACATCTCCCAAACGCTGTTGGACATACCGATATACAAAACAAAACTAATACAAGTCACTAATACAATGTATTCTCTAAATGACATCCACACAATGATTGAATAAGTTATTCTCTACTATGGGTTCTATGGGTTCTACGGGTTCTATTCATGAATTGAATAGACAGATATCCATTTTGAAATAAATGTGCCCCTTTTTCAGGCATCTAACCTTTGACCTGCTTTATTACTGTCATAGTGTCACTTCCTGTCACTCTCTCATGGAGTTATCACCCATGGAATGGTGATGTCCATAAAAGTGTTTGGAAAATCAATGGTTAAGTGGGCTGTACCGGCTCTCTGCTTCGTCACAGGTCAGTGGCACTCACCGGGTCATCTTAGTAGGCTACTGTGAAAAAAAGAACCGTCATATGCTGATAAATAAATTTTCTACTTGACTAAAGTGGAAGGGGTAATGTTAAATAATGTAAAATCAAAAGAGTATGGTAAGCAGGCTGAAGCTGAAAGGTTACTATCGCTCAGGGGATATACAATTGCTGGCCTCTCTCTCTCTCTCTCTCTCTCTCTCTCTCTCTCTCTCTCTCTCTCTCTCTCTCTCTCTCTCTCTCTCTCTCTCTCTCTCTCTCTCTCTCTCTCTCTCTCTCTCTCTCTCTCTCTCTCTCTCTCTCTCTCTCTCTCTCTCTCTCTTTTCTGTAAAGCCTAATGAGGATATCCAGCATGTCAGAAATCTGGATAATCCGGCCCATTACCTGGATTACCTAAGAAATCTTGTTTGGTTTCAATCCCAGCAAGTGGTTTTGGCCCAGTCATACCCTGAAACAGAACTCAGGGCTGTTAGGTCACTTCTGACACCTTAAAAGCAAAGGCACCATTGGATATAATACAATAAATTAACAAAATATCCGACATAGATTAGTTTTTAGACACCTACTATGAGCCAACAGATAACAATCACCAACACATTGTCACTTTGTTGTCGAAGTTGCTAAAATATGACTATAACGCTGGCAAATAATAAGTGCTGACAACATGTAAGCTGCTGCTGCCCATGGAGAATATGTATAAGACCTGCCGACATGTTTCCAATGCCAGAATCAATGACCCTCCCATTCATCACCAGCTTGTCTGAATGGGGGCACAAAAAAAACCTATCTGTCATTGAAGCTGGGTAACTTTTTTAACACCCACCATCAATACAACTTTATCTAAAGCGTACAGTAAGGCATCAGGAAGAACGGAAAAGATGAATGGCTCTCGAAGCAATTTACAGAGGATTTTGTAATACATGGTTCACCCTCGACCGAAATAATGTATATGCACGCTGTACAACTTCATTTTTCGGAGAGCAAGTTGCCATTTTTCTTCAAGACCTGATAAAGAAGGGAAGACTAGGAAGAGGAAAAGAGCGGCCTTATCTTTTTCTCTTTTCCTCCTCGGTCGTCGCTTGCTCTCGTAATCTGAGGATCCACTTGCCTTAATGTTGACAAAGGAGTCGTCTGAAGTTATCGTGGCAGGCGGCACCAGGTGTTTCAGAGGCACATCGCTAATAGCGCACAGCCGCCTCCCAGACCGAGCCCTCCCGCAAGAACTGATAAAGTGGAATATGATGGGATCATCAGTATGCAAAGCGCTCGGTGGAGCCTCGCCTGTGATTAACAGTGACAAAAATGCCTTTTGCTGTAAGGAGATTGTTATCATTTGATGCATACATATCTCTCTTTCCCTCTAAATCCCGGTCTGAGCTTCTGGGATGGGTCCAAATCCTGGAAAATGAACGAAATAAAAAGTATTTTACACAGGATTAGAAAGAATTTGTATTGATACATTAATAATAAGAGGAATAATACATTGGCAAAAGAAAAGATAAAACAATATGTAGATTGTCTCGACACATCAAAGCTATTGCTTTAGTGTTTTATTGAAATGTGGACAGAGATTTAACAGAATATAGAGACATGGTTTTACAAAGGCAGAGGCAACTAATAATACTGGCACCTTGAAACAAGTCGCTTCTGCTTCAGTAAGACAGTATATATCAAAACGACCCTTCAGTCAAATATTAGTAAAAGATTAGTCTGTCTGATTGAAACTCATTTGTAAACCTGAACCACTCGAAAAGGACAGTAGTGTGTCCTAACAATTTCAGTTATAACCTTACTTCATTACACTTTTAACTTGACTTAGATTGTCTCCATGGTGATGGAGGATGCAGTATATTGATCAGTCTATTGATACAGTATCTTAGTCACTAATAGTCTGCTGTCTCTTTCAAAATGCTGATGGAAGAAAGAAAGTGTTCAGGTTGGAGTTGCAAGAACTTTAGATTAAAAACATATTCTAATTGAACAACAACACAGTCTTGGAGAAAAAGGTGCTATCTAGAACCTAGAAAGGTTTTTCGGCTGTCCCCATAGGAGAACCTTTGAACAACCTTTTTTGGTTCCAGTTAGAACCTTTTTGGTTCCATGTAGAGCCCTTTCCATAGAGGGTTCTACATGGAACCCAAAAGGGTTCTGCAGTACCTGGAACCAAAAAAGGTTCTACCTGGAATCAAAAGGGGTTCTCCTATGGGGACAACAGAAGTACCCTTTTGGAACCCGATAGTCCAATCAAATCACAGAACCCTCAACATAAGACTGAAGCAATCGTCCAATTCTGCGATGATGTCAGTGAATGTGATGGGCTAGCATTTTCAACTTTGCCAACGAGTCAAGTTCAAGTTTCAAACTGTTGTGATGTCCTTCAAACTTCATGCTTCCTACAAACATATTTAAGAGTTAGTTTTTTTTTCTATTTTGGATGACTTTGCAAAGAGATTCTTTCAAAAAGTGTTTCCTCATCTCCAAAATGGCACATCCATCTAAATGTAAATGCTCAAATCACCATACTGTTCTCACCACACCCCTTCGTCCTCATTCTCTCTCTCTCTCCTTTTGGCTGAGAAACTTTCATTTCTCTCAATGTTTGTCACCTGTGAAAACTGGTGTAGAGGGAGAGGTGAAATGATAACGAGAAAAGTTGTAAAAGCTGCTGATTTTGTTTAAATATTCCCTTTATGCCCCAAAAATCTGTTTCTTATACAATCTGGTTTCTTCATCATTTTTCATATCCCGGTTAGCTATTTAGTATGCCTATATTTACAGGTTGGCTGGTTGGAAAGATTAGGGGCACTTAAGATTCCAGGAAGTTCTTTGAGATCTGGTTCTGAGGAATCAGTGGGAAGGGCCCCTGGGTACGGTCCAGTCACGATCTCCCACTGACCAAACAACGCTCACAGCTACTATCCTGACAGCTACTGTCCTCACAGCTAAATGTCACTGGAAACTGCCGCTGGACCATCTCCCTTTTGAAAACAGCATGATTCAATGAGAAAGTAATGGCTGGTCTAGAATGGTACATCATTGCATTGCCAAATTGTCCTAAGGCTGTGTAATGCCACATTCTTGTAGCATTTCAAATGGATTGAAGGAGTTCCCCTCTAATGGTACGGTGTAGGGTGATGTTGCCCCTAGACGCTGATCTGGGGTCAGTTTTGCATTTCCCCAACTAATGGCTAGGGTTAGGATTGGGGGAGGAGAAGCTGACCATAGATCTGTACCTAGGGGAAACTTCACCCTGGAGCCTCATGGTACATTCTGACAGATTAGCATGTGATGGTTGTGGAACAGATTAAACCCTGAAAGGATAGTTTATGCCAAGAGAAGAAACAAAATATACAGTATGTCATCTGAACCTGATCTGGGCCACTCCAATAACAGGAATGTAATGCATCGGTTGCTGTGGTTTACTTGCTATTGACTCTGCTGTTCCACCTTCCACAGGCCTGAGGTCAGCCAATCACGTTAGCAAACAGATAAACTAGTTGTGTGACAGGGGATTCAACTGTGACTCTGTGACTTTCTGATGGAATGTAACACAGTCCTGATGGAATGTAACACAGTCCTGATGGAATGTAACACAGTCCTGATGGAATGTAACACGGTTCTGATGGAATGTAACACAGTCCTGATGGAATGTAACACAGTCCTGATGGAATGTAACACAGTCCTGATGGAATGTAACACGGTTCTGATGGAATGTAACACAGTCCTGATGGAATGTAACACAGTTCTGATGGAATGTAACACAGTTCTGATGGAATGTAACACGGTCCTGATGGAATGTAACACAGTCCTGATGGAATGTAACACGGTTCTGATGGAATGTAACACAGTTCTGATGGAATGTAACACAGTTCTGATGGAATGTAACACAGTCCTGATGGAATGTAACACAGTCCTGATGGAATGTAACACGGTTCTGATGGAATGTAACACAGTCCTGATGGAATGTAACACAGTTCTGATGGAATGTAACACAGTTCTGATGGAATGTAACACAGTCCTGATGGAATGTAACACAGTCCTGATGGAATGTAACACGGTTCTGATGGAATGTAACACAGTCCTGATGGAATGTAACACAGTTCTGATGGAATGTAACACGGTTCTGATGGAATGTAACACGGTTCTGATGGAATGTAACACAGTCCTGATGGAATGTAACACGGTTCTGATGGAATGTAAAACAGTCTTCTCTCTTCTTTCTCTGGTGTTGTTCTTGTTGTCCTTTGGATACTAACAGGCTTAGGCTGGTCCCAAATGGCACCCTGTTCCCTACATAGTGCACTACTTTTGAACAGAGCTCGATGGGTCCTGGTCTAAAGTACTGCACTGGATAGGGAATAAAGTGCTATTTGAGACTCAGCGCTATTGTCTAGCAAAATGAATGCATTAATTCAAACAAGTGCCCCAATGTACCATGCCAAGAGCTTCATTTGTTTCACATAGCAAATAGAGTTTCAGACTATAAGGTTAGTATTTTTCTGCTCTCTGACTCTGATTACTCTGTCAGTGCACTGCTTCTGCATTGGCCCAGATAAAGTGCTGCAGTTGGCTAAAACAGGATCATTGTCAACACTGTGAGAGACAAGCAGGTGGCTTCCATTACCTTGTTTCTGTCTTCACTCGTGTCCCTCCATTTGAGATGAAGCTGTTCAGTGAGAGAGGGAAACCAGTAGTAGACCACATGTATCTGCAGTGTTAGCAGTGGAAGAGGAGGGACTTTCCATGAGTATGGGGTCCATATCAGGACAACCTCAATCTCAGCAGGACTTGTCTCGGTCTCAGCAGGACTGAGGTTGTCTTAATATGGACATCGTAAAGGAGGCCATTGGATTAGTTTATCGTTCTGGCCTCTGGTCAGCTTGGTCACCTCAGCGTGCTACATTATGCTATACTCCTCAGACACAGCCTCATCAGTATGCCTTAGTGTGCCCGAGTGAAGTTTCCTCTGGGGTCAGCTTCCCCTCCCCAACTCCTAACCTTAACCATTACTGGGGGAAATACAAAACTGACCCAAGATCAGAGTCTAGGAGTAACTTCACCCTGTACCACCTACAGCAGAGCGCATCATCTCAGGGTAAAAGCTTATAGTACTCTATCTGTGCCTTTAATATCTCACTTCGTCATCATCTCTACTTAACATATTGGGTCCCTTTTCATCACAATGACCCAGCAATGCAGTATCAAATCTGCTCCAGCCAATTCACTCATACAGAAGATCAGAGAGATGGGGTCAGAAGCATTTCATACCCCTCCTGACCTTCTGCTGCCACAGCAAATCCACACACCACCGCAGAATCCACGCCAGTGGGTGAATTTAATTAATAAACGTGGGGTCCTTATACATATTCAATTAAAGGCCTCGTCTCATCCCCTCTGATTTACAGAGACAGAGTCGTGCTGATGTATGACCTCGTCCCCAGCCAGCCCATAGCGAACGCACGGCGCAGCAGGGGGACTGAAGTGAATCCCTTTTGAGAGGCAAACGTTGAGGGAAGCAGACGCAGGGCTAAGTGCCAATAGCCCCTCCTGCCAAATCTAAAATCAATACACTGTTTCTTTCCCCAAACTGCAAGCTGCTGAATCCATATATTTTTTTAAATGATTCCCATTTAAAGATGCAGCAGGTGGGGACAAGGAGACGTCCTCTCTGACAGCACCAAGTGCCAGAGCTCATTTCCAGGTAGGAAATAAAACGACTCTGGATTTATGGGGCTCAGATGTGTTGATGTTGTCAAGGTGATTTACTTCAATTGCATTGCTGACAAGTGTTACGTCTGTTTAGTTTCCCCCTGGTAAATGCCCCCATTATTGAAACTTCACAATGAATATGCAGCACAGTGTGCCTGTTTGTCCAATGACTCACTCATTTTGCATTTGCATGGGGGTGAAATTGGAGACGTTGTGAAAGGCAATTCAAGTAAATCAATTTGAAGTCCTCTAGCGAAGGACTGAAATAATATTTAAATAACTCTCTCGCTCCCTTTTCTCTCACACACGCACGCAGGCACACACACACACACACACACACACACACACACACACACACACACACACACACACACACACACACACACACACACACACACACACACACGCACACACACACACACACACACACAAAATCGTCTCCTGCATAAATCCTCTCTTCCTAAATCAGAGCACACATCCTGTAAGATCTTGTGACCAAAAAATTATATAAAAACCTTTTCAATACTGAGTGATTTAACCAAAGACAAGTTCATCATGAAGATCCCCTTTTATGTTACCAAAATTATCTTTCATGCTTATGCAAAGGTAATTATGTGATATATTTAAAAAAAAAATGTATGCACTCACTAACTGTAAGTCGCTCTGGATAAGAGTGTCTGCTAAATGACTAAAATGTAAATGTAATATAAATAGGTGATGTATACGGAGGGATGTAACTCTGATTCTAAAGATAATACATTCAACTACTTTGTAGGTGGATTTTTTAAATGCAAAGTATAATTTCAAATTCCATATATGGCATCATGATGAGAAAATAACTTTGAGGTGTATCCTGTTATAATCGGCTTGGTTGTTTTTTTGTACAAAACAAAACAGGGAAGAATTCACTGGAGTCCGTTTTAAGAGAGGCCTGTAATTAGCAACATAAAATGCAGCAATATCCATTTTTCATATCAAAGCAGAGGACTGACTCTCTTCTGTGAAAATAAATTATTCAATTACTGCTCCACTAATGGAAGAGGTGTAATTCAGGTTGTCAAGGAGCTAATTTCCCTATATTTTCAAGAGATTCATCTTTTTTTTTCCTTGAACGCTAGTAATTCCATTAAACTGGCTCCATCACGTTGGCGTTGCATCATATCCGTTTTGAAAGGAAGAAAAAAAAAAAGGAACAGTCGCTCCAAATGTCTGCTCATCTGAATCTGTCAACCATTTTGTCTTGTACAGAATTACAGTATACAGGGGAGCACCATTCCACATGACATTTACATTTTAGCAGACGCTCTTATCCAGAGCGACTTACAGTTAGTGAATAAAATTTTTTTATATACTGGCCCCCCATGGGAATCGAACCCACAACCCTGGCGTTGCAAACACCATGCTCTATCAACTGAGCTACATCCCTGCCGGCCATTCCCTCCCCTACCCTGGGCCAATTGTGCGCCGCCCATGAGTCTCCCGGTCGTGGCCAGCTGCAACAGAGCCTGGATTCGAACCAGGATCTCTAGTGGCACAGTTAGCACTGTGATGCAGTGCCTTAGACCACTGCGCCACTCAGGAGACTACCTATTGTGTGTTATGACTCGTATCAGACTGACACCTTGTTGACATGACAACATATCTCAAGGGAGATCAAGTGGAATAATAATCAGTCCGTGTTTTGCGTCAGTCCACATAGTTTACCGCGATTAGACTGGCAAGAAATTATTCGTGTTAGAATGCATACTTAAAAAAAAAAAAAAGTTAAACGTTGTATTTACTAATCAGTAGGTGACAGTGAATGATGCTGTGGTGTAACAACACGTGTAGACTACACAGTCTCATGTTTAGGCGTTAAAGCTACTGGTCTGATGGCAATAATGGGTGACACTGTAGATTTTATTTAACTAGGCAAGTCAGTTAAGAACAAATTCTTATTTACAATGACGGCCTAACCCAGCCAAACCCGGACGCCGCTGGGCTTGTAGAGGGCCTCCCAATTCCCTTTCGCTCGATTGAAACGAACAGGCAAAACTTAACGCGCTTCTGCAGGTTAACCGCTGGATTTCTTATAACCCTACCAACGGGAGATTACAAGCACCTGTGGGCTAAACCAAGCTTGGTTGCAAAGATAAACCCACAAGGATAAACCAGCCAATCAGTTGCTCCCTCGTCGCTACCATGTCAAGTGATTATGATACCAGACAGCTGGTCTAGATTGTCTACTCCCGCCCCCAGTGAAATATCGACCTATCAGGAGCATCGGAAACCGTAAGGCTGATGAATGAAAAATACTTTACATTTTAGTCATTTAGCAGACACTCTTATCCAGAGCAATTTACAGTTAGTGAGTGCATACATTTTTCATACTGGCCCCCCGTGGGAATTGAACCCACAACCCTGGCATTGCAAACACCATGTTCTACCAACTGAGCTACACGGGACTAATACTTATTGGAGTATAAGAATATAGTAGTTTAGGCCTATATTTCATTCAAACTTTTTACCTTAAATGGCAAAACAATAGCCTATAATATATGCCAGTATGAAAAATGTATGCACTCACTAATTGTAAGTCGCTCTGGATAAGAGCATCTGCTAAATGACTTAAAAATGCCATTCAAAATTACTTTATAGACTACATCTTCATTTGAGAAAATAATATAGATTATATAACTCAATCACAATTGACTTGATTGTCCAGGGATATTTTACCTCAGATCTTGATAAGAAATGACCATATCAGACAATGTTATTTTAAAGACAGTTGTATTTATAGATGCACTATGCAGAAATCGCTCTGCCATTTCCTGGTTGCTAAAATTATAATATTTTGTAGAATTTCAGGTTATGTAACGAAACAAGCGAGTATAGTGTAGAGATTCATTGTACCATCTTAACCTCTGTGAAATATATTTTCCATAACCATATTGTGTTTTCAGCTGTTTGAAGGTGGTGTACAAAACTGAAAGTAAAAAACACAAGAAACGATACTTAAAAACGGGAAGCATAGAAATAGCGCACATAGAACAGATCTACTGCTTCTTAGTCTTACTTTCAATGACAGATCATTTTCTATGTGAATTTTGTCAGGTTACCCAAAAAGTTACATATTGCACCTTTAATGGATTACATACATTAGCTAAATAATTAAATATTAACAGAAGGTTACACCATCGACATTAGATTTCCAATTATACAACGTGTCGGGTAAATTGCCACAGTAGATTTGCCGTGGTAAACAAGGTCCATGTTTGCTGTGTTCTAGTGTATTATAAAATAGATGACTCTCCTATTGTTAACGCTTTGCCCGGTCATATTCAAGGTTAGAACTACCTTTCTAGAAAAATTACCAGAGTAGATTTGACATGGTAAACGAGGAAATACTTTATTTCAGTTGTACGGAATGATTGTAAAATAGATAAATCGCCCGTAGTCTGCTCATAAAGTAGGACTTAGTTGTTCTGGTGATAATACCAGAGGGCGAAATAGTCTTGAAAAATGTTGGCTGCCATCAAGACTAGAATATAACCTCCATCTGTGTTAGGGAGTGGTAAATCGCTGGCCAATGTTGGTTGCAATTTAGATCAGCTGTGCGGGTGAGTTTAGCGCATATTGATGGTTTAACGAGAGATCAGCTGGCAATAATCTGGTGGCTTTTTGATGGTTGTCATTGGCCCAGTGTGTGTCTCACTGATGTATCAACCAAACCTTTCCGAGATGGTTCCCTGGAAAACAGCAGCATATGAGCATGTTGAATGTTCCTGACTGACAGTGGACATACAGTACTTGTATGTATGGCATAAATGATGGTCTGCTTGCTGACATGCCATGGATTTTTATCCAAAGGTCTCTGTGACAACAACACCTTGCAATGTATTTCAACCCTCTTACAGACTTATCCCATCTGTTTGTGCTGTGACAGAGGCATTGACGAATAGCTGTATTGGAAAACCTTGTATACATTCATTATTTTCCACATACCGAGAGTCATGGTGACCCTTTGATTGAGCCAGTCTTTATAACTTGCCCTAATCAACATCAACTTGTAACTTCTATAAAAGTATAGGTAATAACCAATTAGGGTGGAGGTTGGTGGGTGGCCATGTGAAGGAACACCAGCCGAACTCTCAACCATTCTGCTCCATCTGATGTCCATTACTACCACTGTCCCCCGCTGCAGAGGGCATTAGACGTTCACCTCACAGGAGCCTGCTTACAGTGGCTTGCGAAAGTATTCACCCCCCTTGGCATTTTTCCTATTTTGTTGCCTTACAACCTATTTTGTTGCCTTACAACCTGGAACCTAATTGATTTTGGGGGGGGTTGTATCAATTGATTTACACAACATGCCTACCACTTTGAAGATGCAAAATATTTTGTATTGTGAAACAAACAAGAAATAAGACAAAAAAACTGAAAACTTGAGCGTGCATAACCCCCCCCCCCCCCCCCCCCCCCCCCCCCCAAAAAAAAAAGTCTATACTTTGTAGAGCCACCTTTTGCAGCAATTACAGCTGAAAGTCTCTTGGGGTATGTCTCTATAAGCTTGGCAAATCTAGCCACTGGGATTTTTGCCCATTCTTCAAGGCAAAACTGCTCCAGCTCCTTCAAGTTTGATGGGTTCCACTGGTGTACTGCAATCTTTAAGTCATACCACAGATTCTCAATAGGATTGAGGTCTGGGCTTTGACTAGGCCATTCCAAGACATTTAAATGTTTCCCCTTAAACCACTCAAGTGTTGCTTTAGCAGTATGCTTAGGGTCATTGTCCTGCTGGAAGGTGAACCTTTGTCTCAGTCTCAAATCTCTGGAAGACTGAAACAGGTTTCCCTCAAGAATTTCCCTGTATTTAGTGCCATCCACCATTCCTTCAATTCTGACCAGTTTCCCAGTCCCTGCCGATGAAAACATCCCCACAGCATGATGCTGCCACCAGTAGCATGAGAGGTGTTGGGTTTGCCCCAGACATTTTCCTTGATGGCCAAAAAGCTCAATTTTAGTCTCATCTGACCAGAGTACCTTCTTCCATATGTTTGGGGAGTCTCCCACATGCCTTTTGGCAAACACCAAACGTGTTTGCTTACTTTTTTCTTTAAGCAATGGCTTTTTTCTGGCCACTCTTCTGTAAAGCCCAGCTCTGTGGAGTGTACGGCTTAAAGTGGTGCCATTTTCTTTCCATTTTTTAATTATGGATTTAATGGTGCTCTGTGGGATGTTTAAAGTTTCAGATATTTTTTTATAACCCAACCCTGGTCGGTCGGTCGGTCGGTCGGTCGGTCGGTCGGTCGGTCACAGCACCCTCTGTTTGTTACTCTGTTTGGTATACCCTGTGTGTTGACTTGTTATAGTGTGGTATACCCTGTGTGTTGACTTATACCCTGTGTGTTGACTTGTTATAGTGAGGTATACCCTGTGTGTTGACTTGTTATAGTGGGTATACCCTGTGTGTTGACTTGTTATAGTGTGTATACCCTGTGTGTTGACTTGTTTATAGTGTGGTATACCTGTGTGTTGACTTGTTATAATGACTGGTTTGAACCATGAGTGTGTTGACTTGTATAGTGAGGTATACCCTGGTGTGACTGTTATGTTGGTAACCTGTGTGTTGACTTGTTATAGTGAGGTATACCCTGTGTGTTGACTTGTTATAGTGTAGTATACCCTGTGTGTTGACTTGTTATAATGTGGTATACCCTGTGTGTTGACTTGTTATAATGTGGTATACCCTGTGTGTTGACTTGTTATAGTGTGGTATACCCTGTGTGTTGACTTGTTATAGTGCGGTATACCCTGTGTGTTGACTTGTTATAGTGTAGTATACCCTGTGTGTTGACTTGTTATAATGTGGTATACCCTGTGTGTTGACTTGTTATAGTGTGGTATGCCCTGTGTGTTGACTTGTCATAGTGCATCTATGGAGACCGCAGGCAACATGACTGGTACCTAGTGAGTGTACAAGCGGCAATACTTTTTTTACTCTCTCAACACATTACTGTTCCACACTCAGCATGACTCTCTCAACACATTACTGTTCCTGACAAATGTGCCATTAATAGAGTCGATGTCCGAGCCCCCGCATAAATCTAATTAGCATAATACAATCCCCATCGAAATCCTTCGGTACAGCCAATCTGCCAACTTCTGTCTGTAGCGTCCGAACAGTTTGGGCTACACACTAAAATGACCCCTCTATGATTTGGTCTAAGACGCCGAAGCCTCACAAGACTAGTCTGAAGGTAGCCCGGCACCAGTTAAAAAAATTAATGGAAGTATACACTGAGTGTACAAAACATTAAGAACACATGCTCTTTCCATGACATAGACTGACCAGGTGAATCCAGGTGAAAGCTATGATTCCTCATTGATGTCATTTGTTAAATCCACTTTAATCAGTGTAGATGAAAGGGAGGAGACAGGTTAAAGAAGGATTTTTAAGCTTTGAGATAATTCTATGTGTGCCATTCAGAGGGTGAATGGGCAAGACAAATCATGTAAGTGTTTTCCTTCATCTGCCAATTTATGACCGCCTTGGAGACACACAGGAAAAGCAACAAAAAAATTGAAAAAAGTGTTGTTTGCAAGAATGTTAACTGTTTACTGTTTCTGAACTCTGTGTTTTTGTGTGTGTGTGCGCGTGTGTGTATGTGTGTGTGTATCTAAGCTGATGAGGTGACAAAGCAGTTACTGCTTTTCAACTCAGCACATTGGGATATTCTAATGGGTCCCATTAACATGGCCAGGGGGGCCTGGCGGTGACAACCGCCATTTTCTACCGACGTCCTCCGCTGCGCTAGATTTCTCGTGGTAATGCCACCTAATCTGCCTTAGCATTTAATTAAAGAGCTGACACTTGTGCCTGGCCCATGTCTGTTAGTACAGTGTAGAACGAGGTTTTTAAAATTAGTTTCGGATCACTGCACACACACATGCACACACAAACACACACATACACACATGCACACATAGATTTGGGGACATTCAACAACAGATGCCAGAATAATGTTTGGAAATGCATGACATGTAAATGGCCCGGATCGAGAGCGCTAGTGAGAGAGAGAGAGAGAGAGAGAGAGAGAGAGAGAGAGACGGAGAGAGAGAGAGAGAGAGAGAGAGAGAGAGAGAGAGAGAGAGAGAGAGAGAGAGAGAGAGAGAGAAGAGAGAGAGAGAGAGAGAGCGAGAGAGAGAGAGAGAGAAAGAGAGTAGCGGCGCATTACTATCGTTCTGAAATGTCCTAACACGCAAGGGACAGCTTGATGTTTACGACAAAGTAATACAGCTGGCACAGTGAAAACAAAGACGGTTTATCTCTTCCACATTATTACAAATCAGACAGGGAATGGAGCAGCACAAGCTTTATCAGCTGAAACGTAGTCAGACAAGCACATACATAAAACATTTGCCTCCAGTTAAACAGCAATTATTGTAGTCTGCTGGTGGCTTTCCTGCTGACAGGAGCAGTATAATCGGAAGCAGCTAGCTAGTAGCTATGTCATTGGATATAAAAATGTATATTCACCCATTTGTTTTAGGGATTTTGTGGGGTGGGGTGGGGTGGGGGGGGGGGGGGATAGGGGGGTGAAGCTGGATCTGTACTTCCCATTATCGAAATATCAGCCAAGATTTAACAGCAGAGTTGCTTTTTTCTCTCTGTTGGCTAACCAGGAATAATTCCGGGGACAGGTCTAGCAAGGGACAAGACACCAAAAACCGGGTACTGTCCCTGGAATACGGGGACATCTGGTCACCTTATTGAAAAGAGTTGTGAGGTCTAAAGGACAAGATGGATCAACATGAACTTTGACCCTGAGCAGTAGATCACCTGCTGGGGCTGGGTGTTGACGAACGGTGGCAATTCAACATAGACTGAGTGCCAGGCTGTTGGTGCTAATATTCCAACATAGACTGAGTGCCAGGCTGTTGGTGCTAATATTCCAACTCCTTGTCACTCATTATCATGCCAAACATTTGGCTTGACATTGAGCAATGAAGTTGGTAAGCACACAAACAGATCTGGGACCAGGTTAGATTCAACATGTAGAATCGTCGGGAAATGAACAGAAACAGATCTGGGACCAGGTTAAATTCAACATGTAGAATCGTCAGGAAATGAACAGAAAATGACAACCGATGTTCTGTGGTCAGGCAATTCCCGCCGCACTACCCGCTGCACGGCCAGCTGCACTGCCGGCCTCACTGTTTCGCTGCACTCCCCGCTGCACGGCCCGGTGCACTTCCCGCTGCATGGCCGATGTTCGTGTTGGTCTGTCTTGTTCTTAAAGCATTCTTAAAGCATTGCACAATAACAATGCGGTATCAACAATGGCGAATAGCCTCTATGAATATTATGAAAAACATGATGCATTTACAGATACGTCATCTTGTGACTGTGTACAGTACATTCTATGACCATTTTAACAACCTGACATGATATACCGAAGGTACATCCACCAGACGTTCGTAACTCTGACATTATGAACGGTCATATTAATGTTGACATGAGCTACTGTTTGAATATATTAAGTCTTTGATCATATTAAGCTATGTTTGTATATATAGAGTATGACAATTAAATCGTTTGTATCATATTCAGATTATGATCATATAAGCTACTGTTGAATCATTAATGTTTTGAATCATATAAGCTATGTTTGTACATTTAAGATGTAGATCAATAGCTCTGTTGGTATATATTATGATTTGACATCATTCTAGCCATGTTTGAATCATATTAAAATGTTATTAATCATATTAAGCTACTGTTTGTATCATATAAAGACATTTGCATCATTTAATCTACTTTGAATCATATTAAATGTTAGAATCATATTAAGCTACTGTTTGAATCATAGTAAGATATTATCCATCATATTAAGCTACTGTTTGAATCATATTAAGATGTTATGAATCATATTAAGCTACTGTTTGTATCATAGTAAGATATTATGCATCATATTAAGCTACTGTTTGAATCATATTAAGATGTTATGAATCATATTAAGCTATTGTTTGTATCATAGTAAGATAGTATGTATCACATTAAGATACTGTTATCAATGCTTCAATAAAACCCAGAGCAGAGAAAGGAGAATAGGGAAAGGGTATGGGAAGTGTAGCCTTTAAATATGCCAGACCAGGCTTGGCAGGCTGCATATATATTTGCACTTGTGTGATTCCTTATCAGGCATAAATTAATGAAACTCCAGCTATTTGCATGGCCAAGGGAATAAGGGAATGAATACTGGCAGACATTAGGAGACATTCATCAAACTAATTCCATAAAGAGGTGTCTCCAAGACCTGGACTAATGGACTCATTAGGCCCACCATTTTACCTTAAAATTCCATCTGATTTCCCCCACTTCCCTACAGTCCAAAGATGGGAGCGATGCTGTCAGCCAAAGTGCTAAGGAGCCATTTATAGCTATTGTCCGTCGCATTGGGGTCGCACATTTACTTTCTTTATATAACCCACCACAACGCAATTACGAAATTGTCCCCCAGAAAAGAAATTGTCCCCACTTTCCTCGATGTGTGTTCTTATTCATTGTACATGCACATGATGTACTGTATACTGAGAGTCTTAACGTGTTACACTATTTTGTACACATGTCATTTGGGCCAGTAGCAGCAGGATTTAGATTAGATTTATTAGCATCCCCATGGCGACAGCTAGTCTTACTGGGGGTCCGACATATAACGAAAAAGACATTACACACAAAATACTTTACAATTCACATACATTTAAAAACATTAACATGTAGTGTGTGTGTGTGTGTGTGTGTGTGTGTGTGTGTGTGTGTGTGTGTGTGTGTGTGTGTGTGCATACACACAACAAGTATAACATGGCATTCAGAAAGTTCTCCCTTTTTTCACATTTTGTTAAGTTACAGCCTTATTCTAAAATTGATTAAATAAATACGTTTCCTCATTAATCTACACACAATACCACATAATGACAAAGCGAAAACAAGTTTTTTTGAAATATTTGCAAATGTATTAAAAATTAAAAACAGAAATACCTTATTTACATAAGTATTCAGACCCTCTGCTTTGAGACTTGAAATTGAGCTCAGGTACATCCTGTTTCCATTGATCATCCTTGAGATATTTCTACAACTTTCATTGGAGTCCACCTGTGGTAAATTCAATTGATTGGACATGATTTGGAAAGGCACACACCTGTCTATATAAGGTCCCACAGTTTACAGTGCATGTCAGAGCAAAAACCAAGCCATGAGGTCGAAGGAATTGTCCGTAGAGTTCAGAGACAGGATTGTGTCGAGGCACAGATCTGGGGAAGGGTAATAAAAAATTTCTGCAGCGTTGAAGGTCCCCAACAACACAATGGCCTCCATCATTCCTAAATGGAAGAAGTTTGGAACCACCAAGACTCTTCCTAGAGCTGGCCGCACGGCCAAACTGAGCAATCAGGGGAGAAGGGCCTTGGTCAAGGAGGTGACCAAGAACCCGATGGTCACTCTGAAAGAGCTCCAGAGTTCCTCTGTGGAGATGGGAGAACCTTCCAGAAGGACAACCATCTCTGCAGCACTCCACCAATCAGCCCTTTATGGTAGAGTGGCCAGACGGAAGCCACTCCTCAGTAAAAGGCACATGACAGCCCGCTTGGAGTTTGCCAAAAGGCAGCTAAAGGTCTCTCAGATCATGAGAAACAAGATTATCTGGTCTGATGAAACCAGAGCATATGAGCGGAGTGGAGCGGTGACAATCTCAGCTCCTCGCTCACGGACCTGTTCACCCCTCCGCTCCCTCCGCTCCCCCCGCTCAAAGCCACATCAGGCCAGTCCGCTCATTATCGCTCAGCGCTCAACGCAGTTTGCATCGCGCTCCACTCAAATCGCCCCCCCCTCCCCCCTCCCCCCGCTCGCTCCAAAAAAGGAAAAAAATGAGATGTTTATCAGTATCGTAAATTCCCTAGCGAATTGACACGTTGTTTGCCAATGTTTCTGCAAAAGCAGCGATGCCCATTGGAAGTGCAGCGTGAGTGTCATCGGTGAGCAGGGATTTGATTTCTGTGACAGCAGGGAGGATCATCCCCAGGTTCCCCAGCTCCTTCTGCATTTTGTCTGTGAGGTGGTGTCAGCACACTGACAAGGTGCGTCAGCTGCCGTACTTGATTCAGGGTGATGTTAGCAATTATTAGACTTGAGTTTGTTTTGCCATAACGGGTCTTTTTGGAACAACCGGATTGACTGAATCATCCGCAGCTGGCTGCTCCATCGAGTGGCGCAGGCATTTGTGGGGCGGACACCTAATTGGTCGGTTTCCTCTGTGTTCAGGGTGCTCTTGCGTACACTTTTCACCAGGTGCCCGACTTTCACTAACACCCTATTCATGTTGTCGTGCTCGTTAACGGCGTCTTTGATCGCCAGCTGAAGCATGTGAATGGGGCATCTCAGATGTAAATTTGACACAGTAAAGTCCTGATTTATCATAGTTTCTACATTAGTGGTTATCACTTCCACATGGATTGCGAGGGCGCAGGTGGTCCCTCATCCTCCTCTTCATGTTCTGCGCTGCTACAGGCATCCGCGGTCACTTCACCCTCCGCCTCCTCTTCAGTGCCAGGAAGGAGGTTAAACGCCTTGATCATGTTGCTGGCACTGTCAGTGACGACCCGAATCACACGTTGTTGCACGTTCCAATATTTCAATACACTTTCATACTTTTGGTAAATACGATCTGCGGTATGGTGCCCCTGTATATGCTCACAGCCCAACAAATCCGTGTGCCCCCGGAATGTCCCATCACTGAAACTGGCCACGATGCCAAGGAAGCGGTGCCCTCTTCTACTGGTCCACATGTCCGCTGACAGAACGAGCCCATCACCATTTTGCAGTAGGTCTTGCAGTTTGGCTTCCATCTCTTCCAGGGCATGTGGCATGAGTGTGTCCCGTACGGTGTTGTAGCATGGGGGGGTGTAGCCCGGTTGAGCTGCGCTGGCGAAGTGTTGCATCCCTTCGCATTCTCCTTTACTCAGCGGTTCATAGTCCATGTAAATAATTTTAAAAAATGCTACATCCAGCTCTCTTTTTCTCTCCCTTGTTATGGTTGGGCCTTTGCGTGCAGTGAAGAAACTTTTTAATTCCTCAACCCTTTTCTCTTGTTGCTGCTGCTGCTCCTCTCGCTCTATAAAATACAAATTCATGGACAACACAAATTAAATTAAACGAACCATATATTAGGCCTACTTTGAATGACAAAACTAATTTGTTTGAATATTAGGCTATATTTACTTTACACTTTTGTTACAATTTATCGTATTCAACTTGCTAACCTTTTGCTTTCTTCCCAGCGTGTTCACTTAGCACACTTTTGTGTTTTCAAGAGATGTGTCTTTTTAGGTTCCAAAATGAATCTTTACTGACTGAAACGATGTCACCACATTTTTTTATTCTACCACATTATCATTGTTAGTTAGTTTTATATTAATAGTACACCTGTATGACTTCTCATTTTCCTTTTTGAAGTACATGGTGAACTCCATTATTGAGCCGAGTTTTGACTGAAAATAATCTACTGTTGATGACTGTGCAAGACACAGATGGATTCTGGGTCAGGCTTGAGCATGATTCAGACTCGTGGTGTGTGCGGAGCGAAATTTGAGCGGGACATAGGGCGACGCTCCGTCCTTTTAAAAATGCCGCTCTGCGCTCTGTCCAAAATCCACCCGCTCACGCTCCCCGCTCACTCCCACTCCACTCCGCTCACATGCTCTGGATGAAACCAAGATTTAACTCTTTGGCCTGAATGCCAAGCGTCACATCTGGAGGAAACCTGGCACCATCCCTACGGTGAAGTATGGTGGTGGCAGCATCATGTTGTGGGGATATTTTTTATCGGCAGGGACTAGTCAGGATCGAGGGAAAGATGAACAGAGCAAAGTACAGAGAGATCCTTGATGAAAACCTGCTCCAGAGCGCTCAGGACCTCATACTCGGGAGAAGGCTCACCTTCCAACAGGACAATGACCCTAAGCACACAGCCAAGACAATGCAGGAGTGGCTTCGGGACAAGTCTCTGTCCTTGATTGGCCCAGCCAGAGTCTGGACTTGAACCCGATCTAACGTCTCTGGAGAGACCTGAAAATAGCTGTGCAGTGACGCTCCCCATCCAACCTGACAGAGCTTGAGAGGATCTGCAGAGAAGAATGGGAGAAACTCCCCAAATACAGGTGTGCCAAGCTTGTAGCATCATACCCAAGAAGACTCAAGGCTGTAATCGCT